ATATATATATAGGGTTGGGTTCACGTGAGACCAGCCTGTTTTCGTGAGACCCGTGAGACCACATTTTTACACGTAACCTTCACAGCAAAAACACTGTGAAGGTTTAAAAAAAGTCGAACCTTCACAGCAAAAACACTGTGAAGGTTTAAAAAAAGTCAAACCTTCACAGCAAAAACACTGTGAAAGTTTTAAAAAGTCACCTTCACAACAAAATGCTGTGAAGTTTCAAGTTTAAAATGTTGGTCTCACGGGTCTCACAAAAACAGGCTAGTCTCACATGATCCCAAGTCTATATATATATATATACTATATTATAAAACATATGACAAAACTCTTAAAAACCATTTTTTATGCATGAAATATTGTATATTGATGCATATTACTTAAAATTCAAGAGTACAAGTAAATTATGCATAAATACAACTTATTAAAGCTCCATCTTTGAATTCGTATAACTAACTGTGGATAAACATAATCAAATAGAGGATAAACATCTCATTTTAAAATATAAAAAATTTAAAATATAATTGGGATAACTATCAAGTTTTAACAAAATAATTAATTATTATCTTCATAAGAAAATTATATTATTAAACCAAATATAAATTACTTCGTTATTGAATCTAAATTAAATTATAAAAAAATTGAATTAAAACATTACATAAAAAATATGAATTTTAAATAGTTAATTTGAGACTAATATCGATATATTTATATCAAATTTTTATGATATCTTCAAATTTATATTTTAAAAAATACGTTTTTTCAAAATCACATAAGATCATACTATAATATAGACTGAGATAAAAAAATAAAATAAAATATTAAAATTAAGATGTATCTCGCTTCATTGTGCGAGTACCCTTCTAGTAGGGTTATAATAGTCATTTTTTTATTAGTCAGCACCAAATCCAGAATACTTGGTAAACAGTTTTTTACAAACAACACTTACTCCAAACCGTGATGCTTACTCTAATCAAACCTCTTATTTCAGACAGCGCTTATCAGCTATTGTTGGTAAACAAGCCCTTACTCTAATTCTGTCCTATCTAATGTTGCTTCAAACGTGGGACAACAAAATTTTGTTCTTACTTGTTCCGTCCAACCCTCTAACAAACGCACCATAAGAAACTCCATTTTAGGCCACAAACCCATGTTACGTCCGCCATCCGGTGGATGCATCTGACATAAGTTGACTTGGCTACAGAACCATACATGTTCGTTGGAGCAAATTCGATGATCGAACCCGAAGTCGATTTTGCGCCACAAACCCTTCAACTACTATGGTCGGCAGGGAAGAACAATAATAAAATCTAGAGCTCTAGTTCAAAATTCTCTAGATTCATCCCCTCACCATAAATTGAATTTGCCAAACCATTATTTCATCAACCATTTGAATATAATGGATTAGTCAATTAATTACATAAAAGATAATAAATGAATTGCTAATTGTAGAATATTATTCTTGTCAAACCAAACCTAACAAAACAAAATGAAGATGGAGACTAATAAGAGCAAGGGTTCAAACAATTTCACCAAAATAAATCAACCAAAGGTGGAATATTTTGAAGTTCATTCCTTGTCTATGTAAAGTTGAGGGCTACCACCAACAATAAGCATGAGAAAAATGTGCCAATAACATGAAAATACATCTCTATTTGATCATATGGAGAGAGAACAAAACCCCAAAAAAATATATAAGATTTTAATTAAATCCATGACCTTCTGAAGCCAATTTTTCTTTAATAGGCCAGCAAGTCATGAATTTAATTAAAATCTCATTTAAAGTTGTATACCTAAACGACCCAAAAAAAGAGCTCAAATTACATGTATTTCATTCCTAGAAGAATCATCATTATCAAACCAAGGGTAGTAAATTGTTGCACAAATTTTCAACAATAATCATTCAAAAATATGTTTTACACCATGCAAATTTGACCATTAACTGCCTGCCATCTTCTTTGCACTTCACAAATACATATTTGAACAAAGAGATCACAGATGCACCTCAACAATCACTGTACAAATCTCCAGCAACATTTTTCTTCAATCTTTCATGAAACGGTTGCAGCAAAATGTGTTGCTGAAATTTGTACGGTAACCGTTTACCATGTTCCTTTTTTCACATAAAAGATACACATTTGAACAAATACATTACATATTGAAACTATTCACAAAAGGTCAAGCTGCAATAGTGAAAATAAACGGCTTATTAGTTCTTCCTCACATAATCTATAGGCCATGGTTGGTTTGCTTGATGATGTATATATTGTGTATTGTATAAGGGAAAGAACAAAACCGTGAGGTGCATAAAAGGGGTTTTCGTTTGTACCTGGCTTGGTGGTGTCAATGTCAATCGCTTCTGCAACCGGATCATGATTGTTGAAGTACAAGGTTTAGTTCTTGGGCTCTTCTTGCAGGCAAACCACCCCGCCTACAAGGAAAAATAATCAGTGTATTGTTCAACTAGCAGTACTGCCGTATTCTAACTCAATTAATGCTATATCCTCCTGTCAGTCTTCCTTAAGGTTAAATAACCTTAGATGAGTTCTCAATTAGATCCATCATCTTCTAAGTTATTTTTTCTCTTTAACTCAATGACCTTCATCTGACCTGCCTCTGGCTGTCTGGTGTGAAACAGACTGCCCAAGAGAAACTTCAAAATACACTGGAGGGTCATTTTGCAAAACAAGCTTCTGGAGAAGGTCATTGAGCTAAATAACCCTCTTTGGAAAAGACACTTGACAGACATATGGTGTTGAGACTTTTGCAGAATTTAGGGTTAACACTTGGTTTTCTTTTTCACTAACTGGACATATAGTTTCAGTTGTCTAAAATACTGAAGAAAATTTTGTGGAACAAACCATCACTAAGTTTTTTGTAAAGATGAAAACAGACATGTGGGTATCTGTAAAGTAAAAACTAAAGCCAAGAAGCCTTAGACACTACAGTTTCTCCCTCGTTATGTTGTCACCAAGGGGTTGCATTTCCATACCAATAATGAAGAAGTCACGTAAGTCATAAGTTGGCATTTATAAATCATACCACAAGAGAGATGGATAGGAGGAGAGGGCACAGACTTCATTTTCAGTTAAAGCTCATACCATAACACCCGAATCTGTTTTGAGATTCTATTTTGATATTTTGTAGAATCTGTTATTACCGAATGGATCTCAAGGAAAACGGGGGCATATGCACATGCATTCAAGTGTTATAAGTTCTTATTTACCTAGTGATCAGAAGGACGTTTACCTTATAACATTTGGGAGACTGTGGTGGATCTTTTGGAGTTGGAGATGGCACTGCTTGCAGCATTCAAGTCTGTCATCAAGTATTTGCAGATCATATGTTGGATAGATATAGAATTAGGGTTCAATGCTTTTCAGCAACTAAAGTACGAATAAATTATGTACAGAAAAAGAAGTGGAATATAGATAGTTCAAAGGAATCACGAACACAGACCTTTTCTCCGCATGAAGATCAACACCCACAGCTGGAGGTGCTGAGATTGTCGAGCTGACTACAGGCCCAAACACTGCTACAAGCTTCAATAACATTTCCAATGACACATTTATATGCCTGTATACATTTGCAAATATGAAACAGTATCAATCTCTAGCGAGATTAATGAACCGTAAATGCAAGTGACTTTCATTTCCTATAGCAATAAATTATAGATCAATATCTTTGATAGAAAATCCGCAATGATCCACTTGCAACATCATATACATTTGCAAGAATGTAGAATACAAGTGTCAATGTAGAGCTAGATGAAAAAATCACAACGCAAGTGTCCTCCATTCCCTCCTACAAGTAATTATCATAAGCCATTATTTTGGGTCGGTATTGTATTCAACTATAGGTCATCACGAGATTTTTGAATTCCAGTTTTGAACAGGTGCTGAAGCCATCAATAAATCACCATCTCTCACGGGAGAATTGACAAAATTTAAAGCCATGTGACGAGATGCATATATATTATAAACGGTCACTCAAGGTCATTGACATATAATCCTCACAGAAACATACCAACTTTCTTGCATCTAGCAACAACCCCTGAAACGAGATCCTTGAAACTGATATCCCTAAACCCAGAGACAATTAAGGTAGTTGAGAATGGTGTGTGGTTTCTACTTTCTATCATGTATGCAGACATCAAACTATAGAACAAAGATAAGGTGCAGCTGCTTTCTAAAGGAACCTTAGGCTCTTCTGCAAATTCCAAGGGCAGAGCACCTTCATTTATACTGTTGATGCAAATAAAGCCATTCATTATAGGTACAAGTGGCAGGGAAAAGAATAGGGAAAGTTGTGGAAAGTTGGGGGATCCGGGAGGAAGATTTGGTAATCATGTACAAGCAATGAAGCCAAATCATAATATTCGCTGTGATCCAATTATGAATTAAATTCTGACACTAGACTTCATACGCCGAAAGGATTGGCTGTTATATTGAACAGATGAAGTGGAAGTGGATCCAGCAAGCATAAGAATGCAGAGGATTCAGCCTCAGATATGCTAATCTGACACAAGGTTCCGAGACTTGTCATTCCTATTTCCTTTGGCTCTATAATTTCTCCTTCTTAGAAAGCTGCCTTTATGTATCAGAAACCTAGCAGGCTAGCAGGGAATCCTGAAACTTCTTTCTCTATTAACATATGTGCAGAGGTGGAACTCAATCCAGCATGCATTAGTGATCAATTGCACTCTTTAAAGCCAGGGTAAATACTGTCCAAGAAAAACTCTTGGCCAGTGTACTAGAAACACTATTTATTTGGTCATTGTATTACATGTTCCAACCATTTCTCGTTGTCCAACTTTCCAGCCAAAAATGAAGTGACTTGATCGACTTGCCCTTATAAAATAACGTAGTGCTATTGAGCAAAAAACAGGTCGAGCAATGTTAATTTTACCGCAAAGTAGGCCCAATGAGCAAAAGGTTCCAGTGTAGTGGCTAAAAGTTATTTTACTTGAAAATACAAGGGACACAAATGTTTTTTTCCTAGTATTTAAAACCCAGAACTTGTAAAATATCATGCCACAAACCAACGTTTTCCAATACCAAGTTTTGAATTATTACCTCTCTGTCTCACTATCGAATAAACCCAAAAGCATAGGCAGCAAGCAAGAGAACAGATCTAATGTCAAAGACTCGATGTTTTCCAGCATAACACTAATTACATCTGCCTGTACCTGAATCAATACAAATCATACATCAGATGCTAGAATATAGAATTTAGCAATGCAAACTATCGGAAATAGACAAGCAGCACAATGAAACTCCCTAATGAATACTCACAGCATGATCTGGCAACTTCTGCAAGGCACTAACAGCACCCCTCACGTTATTTTGTTTCCAAAAATGTTGTACCACCTGAAAAGCACAGGAACTAACTTTTTTACCAAACGAACGAAACATGGTTTCTAGGAACAGCAAAAGGTTACCCTCAATCTATGAGAAATCAACTTTACAAAGTAAAATGCTTGAAGTAGTGAATTCACTCTAAATGAATACCAGAAGAAAGACATGTCAAGCTCAAGAGGTCAACATTATCCATGGTTCGTGCATGATTAATTTGCAAGGTTGAGTTGATTAATGGAAAATATTGACAAGAATGAGAAAGATGAACCATTATTGCAATTTTTAGGTAATACTACTGAACTGTTTAGAGCTACCTGGAGTTTTGTAAGGCGAGATCGAAGAGTACTTAAAAACAAATCATGATCTACCATCAAATCTTCGGCGACATCATCATCATTTTTAGACGCCATACCTCTCCCTGTGGTTTCTGGATCATCCTCCTGCCAATTGCCAAAGATATATATTTAAAACTTTTAAGGCAGTGAAACAGATAACTTTCCCTCTCAAATCGCAGTCTGGCAACATTATGCATATCCTCAAATGCATGAGTACACCTTCACATGTAGATAAGAATGAGCGGGAATAAAAAAGGCAGACATGAACATCCTTGCTTGTAAAATGGTTTTACTAGTTCCAGGGATAAACCAGTAACCATGGACTATATATTTACAACACAATCATTATAATAGTAACTATGTCCCCCTAAGCTGCTCTGGGGGGAGATCATTCCTAAAAAGTGATGAGTGCGTTCTTGAAGAAGAGAAAAACATAACAAAATTCCGTACATCCATGAGGTAGCTCAAGGCATCTCTAAGCATATGTTAGAGCCTACCTACATTGTCGTTACAAAGGAGGAAGAACCTTACCAGCAAGGGAGAAAATTTAACTTTCTCGGGTGTCATGTGAGTGGAAATATCATGCCTTGGTACAACAGACATAGGTGAGGTTTTAGTTCTTTCAGGTATCATGTGAGAGGAAGCTCTAGATCTCCTTACCACCAGCATTGGAGATGATCTAACTTTCTCAGGTATTACACGACGGGAAGCAACAGATCTCTGCATTAACGAGGCCTTAGCCTTCAGAGGTAACATGTTAGGGGAAGTCTTGGGTGACTGTACTACCAATACAGGAGATAAATTAGCTTCCTCTGATTTTATCCCAGGACAGGAATCAGGTGTTTTTACTAGCATCTGAGATGTTTTAGCTTCCGTTACTGCACTGGAAACCACATCAAATTTCTTGAGTGTCATGGGGGACGCTCTGGCTTCTGATATTTGACAAGGAACCAAATCAGGCATTCTTGAAGGTATCTGAGATATTTTAGCCACAGATTGTGCACAAGGTACCATATCAGGTACCCTTACTGGCATTGGTGATGTTCTAGCTTCAGATATTGCACAAGAGACCACATTGATAGACTTTTCTACAGTGATGGTAGACACATTATCTGTGTTAGCTAATATCTGAGCTGCTAAATCAGAAGTTTGACACTCATCAGTATTTAACATCTCTCTTTTTTCAAATTTCTCAACCAGACTGCGAGTCCTTCCATTCACAACTGCCACTGCAGAAAAGGGAAAAAAGAAAATAAACAGTTTAAGCATTATAACCCAGTTATTCTTCCTCAGAAAGAGATATACCATTTGACTACCTCCATTAACACACTTCAACCCTTTCTTTGAATCAACAGACACATCACCTAAAATATGAAATTAGTTGCAAGTTAAAACCTCATCAATCAATTGCAAGACATTAAATAAAATGAGGTGCAAGTTCACATAAACAAAAAAATAAACCAAGAGTAGCAAGTGCTGAAATCATTATCCAACAGTCACTCAAAGAATGATATGCAACAGCCAGACAAAGAGTGCGATACACGAAGTCAGGTTGAATTTCTTGATGCATGAAGCCACCGGAGTTCGTTTTTCTAATTTTTTTCATGGGTTGGACGGATAAGGATTGGAAAGAAGCAAGTCATGTTTTTTGTTAAAACAGTAACTTCTGGGCCTTACAGTGAGACAACCTCCCATAAAAGAGGTTGAAAGCTGCATATGTATATGTTCTTAAATGCCCAGCAGGGACCAAATACCATTTGAAATATGAGAATGCACTATACAATCTGAAGTTAGAAATCCTGCAAGTTTACAAGTTCTGGTTGTGAGCAAATCATGTCCATGAAAGAGAAAACACAGCAAAGATGATGGAAAAGGATAGAAGTGTGAATAACAATAAGTAGTAAGAGTCTTAGGAAGTGCAAATCTTACATTTAATTTTTAGAACAAGTATTTAGTATGTATATACGTTTCTTAATATGCTAAGAGATTTATTAAGAAATCTGGGTCTAGATGGAGAAAAGCACACAGAATTAGAACAGTGATGCAAAGGTAGCTAGGAAAAAAACGATGCAGCTTCAGACAAAAATAAATATGAGAAATACTACCGGTGATCTCCCATTCCCGCCGTCGAGAGAATTAATAACTATAACATGCCAGAAACAGGGCACAAAATTATTATGAAAAATGGAAGTTCAAAGCAGATCATGCAATTTAGAAGCTGTCATCATAGAACTTACTGTTTTCCTTTGGAAGTGTCATTGGAGAAGAAGATTTATGGAACTCTTCTGCGACACAAGTAGAGGTAGGAGTTTTATCCTCGGAAGAATCTTTAGCCACATCATCTGCAAAAAGTCTTCTCTGGAACTTTGTACTTGTAGCAGTATCTGATCCACTCTTCAATACAGATTGAACACTTGCTGATAGCTCTTCTGAATCTAATTTGGTAATCGATGGCCTCCGCCTATGAGGCAGCTTATATGATACACCAGTGCTAACCCGCCCATTGGTAACTAATTCTCTCCTAGAAGTGACCGAGTCTTTTGTGTCAGAATCTTCGTAAGGCACAACGCCAGACACGAACATCGAAATATCTTGCTCAATGTTTTTAGCAGCAGGAACATGCTTATGCATCCACAAATTATCAATCTCTTTGGGACTTGTTAAGTTCACAGCCTTGAGTAGAGATCCATCTTTCCTAGAAGCCACAGGAGTCATGCCTGCAGCTTTACATGAAACAGTGAATTACAGTAACATAAAATAAATAATGAAACATGGAAGGAAAAAAGGGAACAAGAGAATATATTTATAAGCCAAATGTTAAGTATTCACTGTAAGTCCAGCATTGTCATACACTTGCCCCCACCTCGATATCTCGAGTGTGTCGTAAAAGAATAATTAGGGAACAATCATACAGTTCATAACCTGTGTATAAAGTAATCCACACATTCCGATAGGTACAAATTAATAAATACATAAATAATGATAGAAATAACAACTTACTGTCCACATATATATTCTTGATGTCCTTTGAGTCATCGTCTGGAGATATAAATGACCTTCTGGGAGTCTCAACTCTCTCTACAAGACTTTCCTGGAGATCAAACTTTGGCTCCACACGAGTATTTTCCTTGGCTGACATGCTAGGCCCATATGGTTCAATATGCTTCACAAATAGAAGATAGACAAGCCATCAAGTTTTTTAAATATTCAAAACACTTCAAGATGGAAAACACTAGAAAGCATTTAATCCAAAACAAGACTAAATAAGTTAAAATTATTTGAACCCATAAAACCTAAACCAGGGAAGGCAAAGAGAGTTACTGAAACATCTGCTGCCCAGATTCCAATAGAGTTTTGATGATATGAGCACCCTAAAAGCTTCCCATCATCAATACAGAGGTCACCCAACGTTGACCATCCTATATCAACAGCATCATGACAAATTACAGGCTCCCATGAACACACCTTAAATTCAAAGGGCGTGCATAAGTGAGACTTAATATTTTTGGAAAGCAAACCACAAAAATTAATGAAGAAAATGAGAACCTTTAAACTGCTGTCTAACCCACAAAAGAGCGTCCTCGCATCTGGGTGAAAGGTAATTGACCGTACTCCTGATGCCTGGACAATCAATAAAAATTCGTTGCTTGAGTAACAAAGATATCCACATGCAAAATAAAAGAAGGCGTTCGACATAAAACATATATACATAGAAGAAGTCATTACAATGATAGTAGCTGTTCAAAGAAAGCAGGAATACAACAATAAATGATGCACAAACTTCAAGACTAATCATGTAATATGTCAGGGAAGTCCATAACTGAACTGCACTCAAGAACCTAGACTATATGTTGTTTCAGATTTCAATTACGATTTTAACCATTCAAGAAGGAAACAAAAAGATTGACTCATAAACAGTAAGGTTCGAGTATGATATAGAAGATGGAGGACAATTTAGATTTCAGTTCTACTAGTCTGCAGTTTCTGAGTGGTGGTTGAAATTAATGAACAGAAGTATCCCAGCATCTAACAAGGTAGGCTAGTAATAGATACACACCCTCAACCTCTAGATGCAAAGATAACTGATGCACAGACCTAGAGAGTGCTCAATCAACTACACTGAACAGAAATGATGTGGGTCTTCACAAAGATGACCACAATTATAGGAGTCGTGGATCATGCCCCAAAGGCTGACAAAGATTTAAATACTTTACAACTATGCATAACTCAAACAGAGGCACAAAACCAGTGATACCTCAGGCCGAGTCGATCCAATCAATTCAAAGGTTTCCAAGTCCCAAAATTTTACAGTTCTGTCTGATGAACCTGGAATAAGTATTTGTGTTAGTACGATTTTTGTATCAAGGTCTAAAATAAATCCAAGGTATAGGTTAAGCAAGTAATGGTGCAGCACATTTCCAGGACACAAACACTAGCAGAGATCAGCAACACTGGAGAATATATATTGCTCCTCCACTTGTGTACTTAAAATAATATTAACCAAGAAAAGAATAGAGCTGAACTTAAAAAAGAACCAGCTTTAGTGTGCCACGTGAGTGAAATTAAGGTTTTGCCAAGAAATAGATCAGCTATCAAGTTATCTGCAGTGAATAATATCACCTTCACCTAAAAGTAAGAGCAAGGTGTACAATACAGTTATTGAAGTCCAAATGCACTGGCTATAATGCGATAGTAAGGGTGTTCATGGTCCGGTTTGGACGGTTTAACCCCTCAAACCACTAGAAAATTTTCAAACCCAGCAGTTTGACAGCAAGGGACCAAACCGGACCACAAAAAGGCGGTCTGGTCTGACCGGTTTAGGTGGTTTGGGCCTCTTATGGGCTTTAAAACTTTAAAAATAGTATGCCAAATTATAAAAGAACTTCTATCTCTAAAATTGAAAAAGAAGAGATTGAGCAAATGAAAAAAGTTAACCAAATCCACCAACAATAGTTGAAATAATTTTGGACAAACATTGAGCAAGGCTAAGGATGATTTTGAATTTTGACTTTAATTTTTGACGGATTACAGAATTTTAGATAAGGCGGTAAATTGAGAAATGAAAACTAAAAACATAATTTCTTTGATTAACTTTTTAAGCTGAGCCATAAAAGTAAAGACTACAACATGAAAAATAAATATAATTAATACATGTGTATTTTTGGCGGTCGGTTCGGCAAACCACTCAAGAAAACGTTCAAACCGCAGACCAGATCAGACCGAACAGTTTGGCTATTTTTCAGACCGGACCGGACCGCCAGACCACCCAACCGCCAAAAACGGTTTGGTTTGACTTAGTTCGACCGGCTTGAGCAGTCCAACGGTTTTTTTGAACATCCCTACGCAAAAGGATGATGAGGATCAGAAATTTTCTACTACCAACTTTCAAGAATCAGAATGGTGATATCTTGCAATGCACGTCCCCTGTTGGTTATAGAAAAAAAGGAAACGATCATATAGATCTTATATTGTTCTTGTAAGCACAACACTGGAGAAACTAAACCTAGAATGATTCCAGAAGTTTGTTGGCAAAACCAAATTATCAAAATAAATCCTTAGTTTTTCATGCTCATTTGACGACTGCTTATAAATAATAAGAATATAACAAAGAAAAACAACATTGATGTCATCAAGAACTATGATGAGCTAGCAGCTCAACAGCACTCTATACGTAGCTGAAGGCAGAGTTAAATATGGTTTTTGATATGGTTGTAGCTTGAACCAAAAGGCTATATCATTTTCCTAGCCAGGTGTGAGAGATGGTGTTTTGTTTACAGCACTTAAAAGAAGAATTATGTGCTGGTTATCAACACAAGTCTGGTTTTGTTTTACGTGGGCTCATATCTAGATCTATAAGTTCCTTCATTATTTGACACTAATAATCTGAAAACAAGATAAAAAATAAAATATAATAAAGGGAAAAAAGTAAGGTTGTTGCTCCCATGCCCAAAACAAACATACAGGGGACTCATTAGTTCACAAATATGTAGGAGTTCCGTTATAAGAATCCTGGTGCAGTTGATCTATTAGGCTGCATCATCCAGGAAATCTAAATTACAATGGTAATGCATCATCATCAAGTCCCAGCTAACATATAACTCAAGAAGTGCACCCATCAACAAAACATAAGAAACTAGAGCCATGGACCTTGACGGTTACAAACCTGTTGCTAGAAGAAATTCAAGAGGATGGAAATCCATCGATCTAATGTGCCCTTCGTGGAACTTGAACTCATGCAAGAGCTTTCCAGCAGTTAAGTCCCATATCTATCCAACAGGCAACAACTGAAACTTAGCTGCACTGATCTTCTAGAGCTGCTGATATAATAGAGAGGTCATACCTTTACAACATTATCAAGTCCCCCGGACACCACCCATCGACCATCAGGGGTAAATCTAATAGTACTAATTGCTCGCTTATGACCCTTGTATGTATGAATGCATCCTTTCTTTCGAATATCCCATATCTTTAAATTTGTGTCCATGGAACCTGATGCAAAAAACTCACCAAAAGGATGGAATTCCACAGCAGTGCAATAGGAGCGGTGGCCATTAAGCGTCCGAATCACTACATTTATAGAAAAAGAATAAAATAATCAAGCAACTACTTCAGACTTAAGGTAATTAACATGTCTAGAGGAAAGAACACTTCTGCAAAATGAGCAAATAAAAAAAGTAGTACCATCCACAATCTAAAAAATTGTACAATGAAGTGCTTCAATTACAAACATCCAATCACAACATGCAGGTTCAATGTCTATAAAAGTGGCAAGCTATTTACTACATAAGGGGACAGCTTTCATGTAAGCCATAAAGACCAAATCAACTTACCCTTTGTCTCTTCTAGATCCCAGATCTTTACCACACCAGAGGAAGCTCCAGCAGCCACTAAAACTTCAGTTGAATCAAAAGCTACAGATTCTATAGGACTTGTGTGGCCACTTAGGCTCTGCACATATCACAAAGGGAACCATCATTTAAGATCAGATGCAAGGTAAGGCACAAAAACCCATTATAGTTTACAAGCATTTTTACATTTTCTTGACCAGTTAGATCATATCTTTCCTAGTTGGGTATTAAATTGCCACATTTATGTTAGGCCCACCAATCACTGACACAATTATAGTATTGGCCAAAAAAGGTAAATCGAAGACCTGATATTTATGTGGTTTGACAACTTGCCTACCTGATGTCGTTGGGTTCTTATTATATATATATATATATATATATATTGTGAAATTAATGGTACATGAATGCAATGTTGTCTCGTGCTTTTTGTACAACTCAGACTGTAGATAACTATCATACAACCAATTTTATGACATGATTTGTTCTCAGGTGCATAGTCAAAACCAGGTTCCATATTCTAACATGGTTCTCTGTTTTACTTAACTGTGAATATCTCCATGTTGCAACCATTTAGTGGCATGCTCAAACATGCAGACTATTACATTTCATAGTGTACAGAGGTATTTGTGTGATTATGAATAGAGTAGTTAGCAAGTTGTTATTTTCGGTTAGAAGTAGTTATCCTTATGGTTGTCAGGTTGATAGTCTTTGTCAGACAGAGTATACATACAACGTTTAGGATGCTGAGTTCATTCATGAATTTCAATCTCAATTCCTCATAGTTTCTCTCTGTGTCATACCGACCACTGCCTTTTTCAATGTTAACCGAACTTGACATCAATTCCACCCTATTATTGATGTAAGCTATGCCGACACAGCGATAAGCATTTGGAACGTTTTATCATTGTCTGGTATAGTGGCTCCAAAGTATTTTCCTTTGATTCATCAACATCCACTTGGATGGCGTTGTCCATTGAGTATTTCAAGATCCATTCTCTGGTATATGCTGCTTACCACAGAATTAAGGAATTCAATTTCCATTATGTTTGTATTCACTTGTCATTGTTTTGTAATTAATTCTTTGCTTTTGGTGCTCCAATTTGGAGAAGAAAAAGTTTGCAAAAACTTCTAGCAAAATTACACAGAAAATCATATTTAGCTCGAAAGTTCAAAGCATAAAGGTTAAGTCCGGCATAATTCGATTTTGTTTAGTCGTATCTTGGGAAATTGATGCATAGGGTGGGGCGAATCAGTTTTAAGGGAACTATGTCCAGCATAGGCCTTGACTCAAAACATGGTTTCCTCTTTATTATTTGTTTTGTTCAAGGGTAGAAAACAACCTATTGGTTTGAACCAAGTTCGGAACAATCTCAAAATGGAGTTTCTAGTCTCAAACTAGTTTAACTTGTTTCGGTCAAACCGAATGTTTCTTAATCGCTTACTTTATTATTTCTCCATCAAACAAAATCTTAATCTGCAAGTTGCGCTTTGTTTGCTTACTACTAAATTGGGTTAACAAAACCATAAGCTACAAACTACATAATCAAGGTAGGATTTTTGTGATGAGATGTGACTGATTTTGAACGTGGATCTAGAGGATCGGTTTCATTTTTTTCTTTACTTTTGGTTTGTAGGTTCGACTACTATAGGTGGTAAATTTGATGCATAAGGTACAACCCCTAGTCCTATTATTTCCTACTAGTCTGGCAGAAATAGAAAGCTTGATTTACCATTTAAAGTTGGTTTTCTGGTGCTTTGTTAAAACAGAAAGAGTTCCAGTTTCTAGGAAACAGTAAACAATTTTCTGGGTTTTTATTTGGTACTTTGTTTCTGGTTTGAGCAGAAATTTTATGTTTGTTTGGAACATAAATAATCTTGTGGGCCTTCAATCAATATTTTTATTTGTAAAAACGAAACCAAGTTTATCCATTTGTGAAAGAAAACAAGAACCACTTTGTTAAATAGAAACATATTTCTTGGTTTTTGGTGGTTGAAACGTCAAACACCGCAAGCATTATGTGATCTGTTAACAAGGAAAAAACAACAAACATATTTTACATTTACAAAAAAGTTCATGCTAAATTTTACTCCCTTCGTCCCTAAATAATTGTTCACAATGAAAATGGCACACAGTTTTTGAAATCTGTAAGTATTACACGTTTTAATCAACTAAATGACAATTTTACCCTTAATGATAGACAGAATTAAGGGTAGAATTGGAAAGTCGGCACTTACTTTTTAAAGTGGATGCTTATTTTGGGACAAACTAAAATAGAAACGCGGACACTTATTTTGGGACTGAAAAAGTCCTACTTTCTAGAAGAAAAAAAACTAAAAAATCCAGATTTTTATAAATATTCATTAAGATCAATACTGTAAGTCTGTAAGTCCCTATATTTATGAAGTAGATATCATAACCAACGTGTCATCAATCACGATCGGTTTCATTTTGCGACATATATTGCATTGGCTTTAGAGAAATGGAGAATCACAACAAACAATTAAGCTCAGCATGATACAGAAAGAGAAACATGGCAAAAAGCTCGAATGGTCCTATGTTCGGAATTCCACACAAGGAGATCATAGAGGAAGATTACATGACCAACTCATGGCAGCAGTGCCCATATTAACTGTGAAACATGGATACCTACTACGCATGGATGGTTGTTAGTGGCAGGGACCACTAGCGATTATGGTGGTCATGGATTCGACTTTACAAGAAAACATGTGGTATTGATCGATGGTCGTAGATCAAAGGTGACCAGAGGTTGGGACAATAGAATTGAGATTCTCTACAGGACAAAATATAACTTCAAGGAATGTCTTTCATGCTCCAGTTGTTTCCAAAGGATTAATATCGGCCAACAAAGTTGTTTGAATATGGATACTCTGTGTGGCTCAATTCTGAAGCAAGGATCTTTATGGTTGAGTTTCCTGGTGTGATTGTATTATCAGACAGTGATAGTTCTGCCAGCAACAACTCTATTTCATTTTGATTCTAGATGTATCTTAGCTTTTTGGAATAAATAACGCGTTGTTTATTTATTTTTGGTTGTTATGTGAAATAAGCTTGTTGGGGATTTTGGAGATTACAAAACTAAACTAAGTATGATTTCAAAACAAATAATTCAATAAATGTAGAAAAAGTGATTGGAAAACAAATGTTTATTCCCGCCAAAAACCATAAGCATACATCTGAAACATGTGAACGAGATATAATGTTCCACGTCAAGTAAACTTGTTCGTATAAACATCAAATGACAAATCTATAGAATTTAATGGTATATAAGCGTAAGGTAGATCGCTATCTACCAAATGATGAAGACATGAAGTGATAACCAATGAATCACAAAGTAACATCACCTTACCATTCTAGTTTAATGATGCTAAGAAGTGGGAAGGTAGCCAATTGTTGGCTTCATTGTTACTCGCAAGAAAGACACCTATGAGCTCAAGAAAGGAGTAAAACCAGAAATGTGGGTAACTCAAAGCTAAGTAGAAACAAGAAGGAATCACTTTTTCTCTGACCATAAACAGAAATAGTGGTTCTGATTGTAAAAAGTCAAAAACTTGGTTTGTTTACTAAACTAGCCATTTTGGATGGAAAACAGAACACATTTACAAACGTTGTGTTTCCACACGTCCATGGAGGAAAATCAAAGAAGTTAACTTGGTTGGGTTTATCAAGCGTGGGTTTAGAATAGGTCTATTAATCGACATGTACGCTCCGATAAAAGGCTCCATCGACCCTCTAAGTTGTCCATCGATGGGAAACTTCTCAATCGATGACGTACAAGGAGTAGAAAGTTGTCTTGAAGATAACGATTAGAAAGAACTCACAAGCTATTTGGTGTAGAACTGGTTTGATGTCAAGTTGGTTACTTCACAAGCACAATGTTTTAGGCTGCCTTTGGTACATGGGACAGGATGGGACAAAACTCATTATCCCACATTTGGCGAGACATGGGACAGGGACAAAAATTGGGACAAGTGGGACAGCGTGGGATAAAAAGGCTTTTTCTTGTTCCACCAAAATAGGTGGAACAAGATGGGACAAGAATGAGATATAAACTAAAATATTACTAATTAACCCTCGTTTGATATATAACTTTAATATGGAATTTGTTTTAGTGATCACCACCACTAGTCGCGGCCGACGGTGCTCTTCCACTGCAACAACCACCGACCACCACCGTGCATCACCACCACCACTACCACCATCACCTCCTCCACTACTACAACAACCTCCTCTACCACCTCTACAACCACCGTTATAGCCACCACCACTACCACCGTGGGTCACCTCACCTCCACCATCGGCTACTACTACCACTGCCTACCACAATCACTACCTCCACTACATCGGCCACAACTACCTCCTACACCGTTGTCGACTACCACCACTACCACTACCTCCACTACATCGGCCACAACTACCTCCTACACCGCTGTCGACTGCCACCACTACCACTATCCACCATCTTCACATCCTCTACAACAACCGCCATCCACCAACCACCACTACCACTACGTCCAAAACCACCGTCGGCCACCGACCACCAGACCGTCGCCCATCGCTACCACCACTAGTACCGTCGGCCAACACCACCTTCACCTCCACCATAACCACCACCACCATCATCAGCTACCACTACCACCACCCACAACCACCACTACCTCCACCACATTGGTCACAACAACCTCCACCACTGTAAACCATGCCACCACTATTACTATCTACCATCTTCACGCCCTTGGTATGAATCGAATTTTTTATATAAAAATTTCCATTCAAATATGGTAGTTGGTACCATTATATATGTATGTATTTATGTATATGAAAATTGCGTAAAAATGTTTATAAATTAAACTATTTAATTATTTACTTTATTTGTCTTAATTATAACTATTATATGATATATAAGATCATCAAATAAGTTTTGGGGGCAACTTGTCTGGTTCTGTCATGTCCAATCCCAGTCGTACCAAACACCAGACAGACAATTGTTCTGTCCAATCCTACCCTCTTGCCTTGTCCTGTCCAGTCCAGTCATGTCTGTGTACCAAACGCTACCTTAAAGATTTAGATATTGTTGATGAATATAAAGACATTCAACTTGACGTTGAAAATGTAAAAGAGCTGAGGAGTAAAAATCCAGGATTGAAAGGTGTTGTAAGCTCTTCTAGAAGTTCCTTATCGGAAGAAGCCATAAGGAGTGAAATTGATTTGGTTATGCCAGACTGTGCAAGGGAAGCTAGTGGATCTGCATCCACGAACCAAACTAGTCAGTCCAATGGATTTCTAAACGGACGTTAAAAGTCGATCAATTGACAAGTACAAGGCTCCTTTGATTATAAAAGGTTATTGTGAAAATGTGGAACCTCCATATCACTCTCCAAAATTGATTTGGGGAAGGTTCCAACATATATACAAGAGTAAACGGTCCAAGTCTAGCCGATGTGGGACTCTAACACGCCCCGTCCAATAGAGGCTAGATGGACACAGATTGTCCCGGGGTGTCGAGAGGGGGCTAGCCAGAGTGTCGAGTCCCTACAGTAGCAAACCGTAGCTCCCATACCATGTGAGGATATGTGGAACCTCCATATCACTCTCCAAGTGAGCCTTGAGAAGAAAGGGGAGGTTCCAACATATATATAGAAGAAATGGTCCAAGTCTAGCCGATGTGGGACTCCAAAATTTATAAACAAAAGAATGCTTTGATGACATGTATTTGGATTTTTGGTGTCGAGCATGACTTAAGTAAGGATGATCCTTGCGAATGTCGCAATACAAAATCCAGAACTACATTAAACGGATATTTAAACGAAATCTACATGGAAATGCCTGAGGACTACGTTACCCCAAGACAATAAGCAAAAAGTTGCGAACTTGTGAAATAAGTGTATGGCTTAAGTCAAGCTCTAATATAAGGGCATCAAAAGTTTGGCCAAGTCATGATGGAGTATGGATTTAAGATCAATAAATATTGTTGGATGATATGCTTGTTGTTAAAGGTGACCAAGGGAAAGAGAAGTGTAATAGAAAAACTAGGATCATTGAGATGGGATGCCTAAGTTTGTCACGTGTATATAGTTGACGTAATCACATGTATCTAAAACTACGAAGGTGGTGGCAAGGATACTCATGTATGGTTACGTTCACAATTATATCCGATCAATGTCGTTGTGAATTCACCATCATGTGTCTGTGCTTGACGTAATCTTATCATATTGAGCGGTAGTGCAAGGGGACCTCTAAATGTTAAGCAAACTATGTTGACAAAATTATAGAGAAATTCAACAGCGATGATTATGGTATAGCCTGAACACAAGTGAACATTTGGCAAAGAATGGAGAAGGTGTGTCTAAGTTAGAGATTTCAAGAATCATCACATTTGATACTAAATGTTAGAAGTAGGGGTGCCACATATGTTCATACACAAGGCCATCTTTTGACTTTCTCAACATATTTGTGATAAATAGTGAAGTCCAAATAGACAATTATAATAATAACCTGCATCCAAGGTGAATTGACTTCATATGCATTAGAGAAGTTCAAATGTGATATATCCCTAATAACTAGGAACCACTATATTTGTTGACCTCCCATTCTAGACATATTACCTCAGAAGCTTACATGCTGCATATTTTGAACCCATAACATTGTCTAGAATCAAGTGGCAAAATCCCATGCTAAGCATGGTTTGACTTGAGTTGTTTCAAGGAATTTGTATTCCAATCCCATCTACCTCTAGATGATATTTTATTTTGTTGCAAATTTCCAGCAAGCCACCATACAGGCCCTTGGGCCAAGTTAATGGTATCAAATGCAATTTTACAGTCCGAAGGTCATATCTCGACAAACCACTGTTTATGAATCTCTCATTCTAAATATGATGCATTAGTGCTTATTGCATGCCTAACATGTAGCTAATGACTTTGTATTTCTACATTAAATATTTAAAGTGTCAATCTCCCATATAAAAGGCCTGAGTTTAACCATTTCAAGAATGTCAAATTCCAAAATTGTATTTATGTAATATCATTTGTTCCATAATACCAAAAACAGCTATAAAATCCAACTAGTAACATCATGCCGTATTTTCAAACAATAAATTTGGAAGTGGCTACTGACCGTTATACATGTTGACTTCCCTATTGACCATAGATTCACAATTTCATCATCACCTCCTGTGATAAAATGTCTCCTTGTCTTCTTTCCGATTTTGATGCAGTTCACATTCGCAGAATGTGCCACGAATTCCTCTATAGTTAATTAAGTCAACAAATTACAAACACCAAATGTAGTTAATGATTTAGCTTACCAATCCTCATTTACTCCAACCGCTCAAAAGAAAAGCATACAACTTGGGACATTTGATGCTTAAACTTGCATTTCCAGCCAAAAATTCACTTTTAGTTGTTTGAGTTGTGTCTGGAGATAATCCCACATAAACAACCATGTTTTTCTAGTAGAACTTATAGGAAGAGTAAAAAAATTAATATTTGTAAGAAATGTTACACCAGAAGAAATCACATTTTATAGTAAGCAATCTTGAACCCGTAGGTAGTAGAAAACCAGAACAAAAATCATTTTTTACACTGAGGTGCCTCAACATGTCTCACATTGTCGATACACGATTAAATCGTAAATTGAGCTATATTTTCTACCTACGAAAGCTTTAAGAACACGCTGATTTCCGGGGAAAATTTTGGAAGATCATTAACCTACAAGGCACAAATTCAGCTAAGGTTCGTTTACGGAACACCACACGGGAGAAGAAAAACAGAAGTAAGATGAACAAAAACGGGATAATAATGACGATTTATCCATAAGCCAAACAAGTACAACACAGAATCAACAAAAATTCAAGTAAACATATCAAAATTGCAACTAAAAGTAACAAAGGATACGCAATTTATATCCGCGTTTCTCCATTAAACTGGAACTCGATCAAAAATAAAATCAGGTATTCTTCCTCTTGTTGTCGGTGTGGTGGTGCCGCTGATGAACTTGACGTGTCACCCGATCAATTAAATCAAATGCATTGAAGAAGAAGATAAATACAGAGACGTATGAAGTATAAATGTGTGTATGTGTAGATATAGATACACCGATTTATATATACAGAATTGAATCGAAGGCTACAAATCAGAGGCTTCTGCGCAAAATCCACCGGAGAAAGATTGGAATTTTACTTTTTCTCGAGAGCAGAGCCTGGTTTTGCCTGGTAGGTGATGTGCACCGTCACCGTGAGTATGTGTAATGTGTGTGTGAGAGACAGAGGGTGTTTTTAGAGAGAGAAAGTTGTTCATAGCATGATTGAAGCGGTTTGTTTCTTTATTAAGTTAAATAAATCTTTTGATCATTGTATTTGATTATGGTTTTTAAAATGAAGTCTTAACATCAATAATTAATTTAATTGTTAGTTTAGAAATAATATTTTAATATATATATTTATCAAATAGTTTATTCTCATCCAACACATATGTAAACAAAAGGTTTAAATGGTGACTTTATTGTTCAGATTATTTATTTAGGACAAAAATAAACAACAATTTATCTTAATTTATCCAGACAGATTAATACTTAGAAACAACTTAATAAGTTTAGAACTTAATGAATAAAAAATCAAATAGCCTCGAATCAATAATATTCAACAAACTAATTTATATAAGTTAGGGGATGTTTACCAAACACTTAATTAGTAAGTGTTTACCGACAAAATTTAACACTATCATTAACTTACCGAGTAAGATTTTAGTCCACCAAAACGGTACCGTATGCAACAATTTATCCGGTAAGCGCTTACCGTGGTAAGAATCGTCGCTCTCACTTACCGGGTAAGATTCTTATTTGTTTGTTTCGCTCTTACCGAGTAAGATTCTTGGTCATTTCCATATTCATCCAGTAAGGTAATGTGACTTGGTGTTCTTTTACCCGAATAAGCGTTTGGTGAACGGCTCATTAGTTGTTGGTAAATAAAGCTAGTGAAAAAGGTCAGGAGTGTTTGTTTTCAACTTAATAAACTTAACGATTGGTTAGCTTAATTGGTTAAGTTATATTAAGGTGTTTCATTTTAACTTAATGTTGATTGGCTTAATATGTTAAATTAACTCATCATATCTTAATGCATTAAGTTACAATATTTTTTTTCCAAAACTACCTTTGTCCTATAATTTTTAATCAACTTTTCATTAAAAAATCAGTTTACCAACATATATAAATTAAAAAATGTAATCGAACAATAATATTTTATTATTTTAAATATATTTTAAGTTACTAATATTATGTTTTTGTTATTTTAAATAACTCATACTAAAATAATTTTTTGTCATTTAAGAAATTTATTACACAACTTATTTTTATTCAACATTTATGTAGACATAAGGTTAAAATGGTAATTTCTATTATTCAAACTATTTATTAGAACAAAAATCAAACAACGATTTATCTTAATTTATTTAGACAAATTAATGCTTAAAGACAAATTAATGGATTCAGAACTTATGGATAAAATTTAACACTATCATTTACTTATCGGGTAAGATTTTAGTCCACCAAAACGATATCGTATTCAACAATTTACCCGGTAAGCGTTTACCACTTGTCGCCCTCATTTACCGGGTAAGACTATTTGCCCTTGTCTCGCTCTTACAGGGTAAGATTTTTAGTCATTGTCATATTCATACGGTAAAGTAATTTGACTTGGTAAGCGCTTACTCGTGTAAGTGTTTGGTAAAAATGACCCCAAAATATCATTTCAATAAAAAAAATGTATTTTTCAAAATAATGATTTAATAAAAGTAATTTGTTTAAAATACTTATTTCTCCTAAAAATATATTGCAAAGTAATTATCAATCATACTTTTTATTTAATTTTCAATAAAAGTATTCATCATAATAAATAAATTAGTTTACTTATTTCTATCAAATTATAACTTTTTTATTTTATATAATTAATTAGTAAAATTTAAAAAATAAAAAGTCATTAAATTTCATTTTATAATTTTGAATTTGGACGAAACAGCCCCTAAAATTTGAAATCTTGACGTTATAAAATGACGAAAAAAGGGCGTGAAAAATCTTTGTTCTCTTGTCCATGCATGCCCCTATAGAATCTTCATTACTTTTTATTTCTTAAATTTTCTTTTTCTTTTTCTTTTTCTTTTACGTCTTGGAAAAAAAAAACAAAAACTGGTAGCAGAAAATTTAAAGCTTCTAAACCATGTTTTAGATATGTTTTATTATTCTTAGGTTAAAAATAGAGGAAGCTTCGTCTATTTACATGATAATCAATTAAGTGAAATTAGAAAAAAAAAAAACAAGAAAAAATGAGTTTTAAGGAGTATTTAGAACCTTTTATATTATATTGTATTTAAGAAATTTATAAAAATAGAAAAATGATGGGTTGATGTGTCAACTTAGGGATCGTTTGTTTACCTCTTAATAGTTCCATTAAGAGGCAACCTTTGAATCGTTAATAGGTGAATCTTATTTAACAAAAGAAGTATGTCTCTTAATGGTTCTAAAATCCTCTGAATGATTTTGAATCTTGGGTCTCCCTTAACCATTCAGCGCCCTAATTTCATTGTAAACAATTATCCAACAATTATATTTCATTTTGCACTATATCATGAAAATCTATTAATCATTCCGACCACTTAATCATTCTGGACAAAACCATTCAGCAACTACCAAACAACCCATTAATCTTAACCATTCCGTCTTTTCACTCATTATAGAAATTTACCCTTCTTTAACGATTGTGTTTTCGAGTTTGAGAATAAAAGAAAATAAAATGAAGAATGGAAGAGAAAAAAAATATTTTTTATTTGTATCTTGAGATGGAAGGGAAAAACAACAAAAGAAGAGGAAATATGTCATTTTTATAAAATATCATTATTTATTTTTAACGGATTGTAATTGATGAGTATATGTGTTACTTTATACATATTTATATTTCTATTATTTATTTTTTAACGGATTGTAATTGATGAGTGTATGTGTTATTTTATACATATTTATATTTCCGTTATTTATTTTTTAACATTGTTCTTATGTTCTTTATTTTTCTTTACTTATTTAAAAGCTAGTAAACGCGATCACATAAAAGCATTATAGTTTGTAAGAGAAAAAAATTCGGATCAAGTTCACAAAATATATATATATATATATATATATATATATATATATCTCTTTTAAATCGAACTATTGGGATTGATATGGCTAATATAGTTTGTCGGTGGTATGTCATTGTCCTTTTTATGTGATAGTTGATACTTCATAATCCATGTAAAACATGGGTAAATAAATAACATGTTTCACATGTATTAAGATGTTATACAGACTATCTAATAAGAGAATCACAAAGAGATTCCCGATTGGAGTTTGTGTACCCCTAAAAGACTTGATAGAAAGACAAGCAAGTGCTTTCAAATTGAAATGTATCTTGAAATTTGGGTAAAAAGTGATTACCGGTAACAGAACCAGATCGGGGATTAAACTTGGGATCTGTCTTATATTTGGATAAAGTTACCCTACCCTTTTGTCAATTGAACTACACATTGAAGACAAATTGTTAAGAAACTAAAACCAAAAAACTTACTCTAATTTTATTGAACAAATACAGAATACAAAGAATATAAACTCTATTTACAACATACACATCAAAGAAACTAATCAGCTACTCTAATGAAGAAGAAGAAGAAGAGAAAGCTAAATCAGCTACTGGTATGAAGAACCAGAAAGAAAACTTTGAGAGAGATCTAAAAAAATAATTCTAATTATGAAAATATATAGAAATATAATTATAGAATTGTTACTCCAATAAACATTTCGTTTGTTTGTAATCATCAAAACAGATACATAGAAATTATAGAAATGTGGTACACATGCACCAACAAAGCTTTTTAAAAATAAATCTTATAAACTTAAAAAGATACCTTTTCCATCATCATGATTATGTGTATAGATCGGATTGCTTCAAGATGTCATAAGTTGCTTGTTAAAGCAAATATGCATTATATGTAAAGGCGACTCATTAAATTGTAATAGTTATCAATGCGGACAATCCACTTTGTTCATTCGGATGTCCACATTGAAATCTTCCTTCACACAACAATATTTTTAAACGATCAACTTCTAAACAAGTCAACGCAGATGTCTACCTGATGCATAATGCAGACGCCCACATAACTCCAAAATTTTGAAATCTTTATCTATGGCTATGGTTTTATCTCTGGCTTTAAAAAAAAGTCTTGGAGCATTCAAAGCAAAAATCTCTTGGGTAAAAGAACAAGAATTCAAAGATCCAAACATTCTTTAATCATCCAAGTATTGCATTGATGACACAAGAGTAATTACCATTAAACATCCACCATCTTGTGAGTGTATCTTTTTAGACTGAGTAATTCACATTGTTCTCTAGTAAAAGCAATAAAAGACTACAATCATTTGTACCACGGTTTCTGTTCTACCACAAAGAACACCTATTAGTGGATCGGTGTCTTGAGAAGGGTCTCAGAAGTGGATAGACAAGTTGGTGAACCACTCTAAACAACGTGTTGGTATAACATTCTCTACTTTACTTTTATGTTGTATTTATCTTATGTTTGATAGTGTAAAAGAGAAGTTTCTCTATTGTGGTTTTTTGTTGAAAATTGCAAAAAAAAAAAAAAAAATCATTTACAACCTTTACCCCTAAGGTTGTTCTACATCACAATTTCCCAAACGAAATATATTTATCGTATAAGCAACATCTTTCTAAAACCCACCACTTCTATGATGAAAACTTCACATATACACCACCCTTTTGGATATGAAACCAAAATCCAATATTCACTTAGAACATAAATACCTATTAGCATTTAAATACCAAAACATGGATAAAACTCCATTATCCAAAACACCAAAATATAGATAAAACTTAATATCCAAAACGACAACTCATGGACAACACTCCTCCAATGCAAAACCTATTGGTGACTGGGGAGATCCGTTCCTGTCGATTATGGTGAACACAAAGTAAGTCTTACATCGACGTTATTGAGTAGCACCTCAATATTCAGTTGACCCTAGTGCCTACTCATTTGAGTTTCACCTCAAGACTCATCTCCTTAGTGCTTATCCCTTCTAGTAGCACCTTAAGGCTCATAGGTCTTAATGCCTACTCTTTAGAGTTTTTTTTTTATCGCCAGAAACTCACTTCGTTTGGAAACTCACTTTGTTTGCCCTCCAACCATTCACAACCCTTTCAAACTTGGGTTAGTATCAAC